TGATAAGATGTGCGCTGCCTACTCTATTTCGAGGGTACTAGACCATGGTCATTAGCCCTGTTTTTTACGCTCCTAAATATAGCGGGAATATTGTATTTCACAAAACATGCTAAGGGAAATCAGTGTCGACGAAGAATTTTCTTAAGTAATTTCGCAATTGCTTTAATGAAAGAGCAACTAATTATGAGAGCTCAAATAATTTCGCTGCCAAAGGATATTCGAGCGTTTTTGCAAATATCCTACATGGACGCTGTGTGTGGGACGTCGGAAACACAACCATCTCAATCTAGAAAACGAGGGTAAAATTGTAAATTGTGTACAAATACAAATACATGTTGTAAATGTAAGCAATTCATATATTATGTAAAAAACAATGATAACTTGCTCGACTTGAGAAATGCATTCAGACTGTGACTCATAATTGATTTATTAGTTGTCCATTATGTTATTGTAAACAGATAAAATATAACAATAAAGTGTATTCTCTGTATGGTTTTTTTTCGGAAACAACATGTAAATTTCCCCCAAAAAAAGAAGCAAAAAGAGATTACAAAAGCAGATTCAGGTAATCGGCCCAAGCGGACCGCCGCGCCGATCAAAACACGTTTCTCACGTGTACTTACCAATAGATTCGACACGCAAAGAGAAATAAACTGTTTTCGTGGATCAAAATCGTCTGTTATTGGACAAAAGCGGAGAATTTTAAACAGTTCCCGTGCGGTTATTATAAACATTTCGAAAAAATTCTATTAGAAAAATCGCTTCAGAATAATGCATCCTTCAACGTATAATGATGATGCAGAAGATATGGGACAGCCTGTATATGAAATCTAAACCAGCTAAGTACGGCATAAAAATATGTTCCCTTGTTGATGTGGAAAGTACATATACAATGAATTTGCAGGTATACGTAGGAAAAATACATGATAAACCTGAGAGAAATTCCGCCAGCACTATTGCAAAATAAAAATAAACCAGAAAAATCCTGTTTTTACTTTCACGAATAATATAACATTGACTTATTACGTACCTAAGAAAGGTAAATCAGTGATAGTACTCAGTAGTACTGAGCATCATGACAATAAAACAGAAAATGTAGATAATCATTTCAAGCCGGACATTATAGAACATTAGAACAGGTGTAAAGGCGCAGTAGATACTATGGATAAGATGGTAAATGAATATTCAGTGAAAAGAGGAACAAAAAGATGGCCCTTTGTATTATTTCAAAATATTTTGGACGTTACAGCTGTAAATGCTTATATAATTTGGACAACTAAAAATCCAGAACTAAAAAGGAATGACTACAGAAGAACTTTTTTATTAGAACTTGGACAAGAACTCATAAAGCTTAATGCCGCTAAAAGGCTACAGGACAAGCACTTATCTGAATGTATCTTAGTTCCTGTGGAGGTAGCTCAAAACCAACAGATTCCAGTCCCATCTTCATCAACATATCCAAAACGTACAATATGCCCAAGAAGAGATGATAAAGGACAAGAAATGCTTGTCACAAATGCAAAAAATATGTTTGTTCCACTCATTGTATGGTGTCAAAAAGAATAATTTGTACTATTTGTCAAGAGAAGGGAAACGTTCGTTAAAACATTTTAATTTTCTAGATTTACTTAAAAGACTTTTTAGGTTTATAATTTTAGTTGTTTATTTAACACTTAATGCAGATTCGGATTTTTCATTTTTGTTCATAACTATTAAAAACGTTGTTAATGTTTTACTATTTTTCTTATTAATTTTGTCATACGTCAAATAAATTTGTACGTTCGTATCCCACATCGGACTTCATGAAATTTTAGACACTCCGTACCAGACAGGTTAACGCACTATATTTTGTTGACAAATGTCGCTCCAGATCGAACCCGTGCACTCGCATACAGATTCGGGATTTCCCATAATGTCATAACCATCAACATGGTATTCCCCGTAAATCGTAAACAAACGAAACGAGTTATTAGCACTCAGAAATGTAAAATATGTATTTTATTGTGAAAAAAATGTTAAGTTTCGATATTTGTGTAGGACAATCCTTCCACCTGTAGAAATGCCAAAGTTTTTTCTTGCCAAAGCGGTTTTTCAACATTTCATTACTACATTGCTGATTGCATTAAAAATATTGAATAGTCGCGCCGTGAATTGAAAAATCCACATTGAATGGTGGCTGGAGGAATATCTGGCCAAATGTTGTCACTGAGAAGGCTAATGAGAATTTGCAGTATGACATCCACGCTACAGTAGTTTTAGGGCGGTCGTTACCGGGGGATGGTTTTAGTGACTATCATTCAACTGTCAGATATTGAAGAGCTACTTGAATCACATGATTCTGAACTGCAAGAAGAAGATCTGGCATATTCAGTAACTGATCATAAATACAGCTATTTTAACTCTCAAAACAGTTAATAAATGTTGAGAAATGAGAGAAAGACTAACAAATAGTTGATGAAAGGCACAACGTGAGATCCGTAATGCTTTAGTACAAAATGAAAGTTTAAACTTGAAATCAGTTCGAAATTTATGAATTTTCTATATTTTCAGACAATGTAGATGAGAACTAAATACAGAGGGTGTTTTTTAAGCCAGATAGAACTTACGAAGGGGTTAATTGTCAAACGAACTGTGATACTGCACTCACTTTTTGATATTTATGATCAGTATACTCTGGCAAATCATCATGAACAGATTGATGCTTGAACAACGCTGCCAAATTATCCAGATTTACTTTGAAAATCAGTCATCAATTCGCATAACTTATAGACGACTTCGTGATTTGTATGGCGCACATAATCGTCCATCTGAGCAAGCCATCCGTCGAACTGTGAATAGATTTCATACCACATACTCTCTAAATAATGCAATAACATCAACACATCAAAAAAAATGTGCGTGCTGAAGAGAATATCGCCGCTGTAAACGAAAATGTGGAAGAACATTCAAATTTATCGATTCATCGTCGGTCGCAGGAATTAGGGCTCTCTTCGTCCACTACGTGGAAAATTTTGCCCAAAGATCTTGGCCTACACCCGTTTAAGATCCAGCTGATGCATGAATTAAAACCACGAGACCATCATATGCGTCGTTCTTTTGCCGATTGGACTATAGAGCAGTTGGAAACTGATCCCATGTTTTATCGCAAAATTGTGTTCAGCGATGAGGCTCATTTTTGACTTAACGGGCCGCATATGGAGTGAAACCAATCCACAACAGACCCTACAGACTCCATTATATCGAGAAAAATGCACCGTTTGGTGTGGTTTGCACGCTGGTGGCATCATTGGACCTTATTTCTTCAAAAATAAAGTCGGAGCTCACGTTGCGGTGAATGGACATCGTTACCGCACCATGATCCATGATTTTATGTTTGAAAATATGGATGACATTGATCTGGGCGAGATGTGGTTTCAACAGGACGGCGCTACGTGCCATACGGCGACCGCAACCATCGACTTATTGAAATCAAAATTTGGCGATAAGATGATTTCGAGAAATGGACATGCCAATTGGCCTCCAAGGTCGTGCGATTTGACACCTCTCGATTATTTCCTGTGGGGCCACGTGAAGTCATTGGTTTATGCTGATAAACCAGCAACAATTGACACCTTGGAGGCCAACATTGTTCATGTTATTCGTGACATACGGCCAGCAATGCTCAAAAAAGTAGCCCAAAATTGGACTTCCAGAATGCGCTTCGTCAAGAACAGCCGAAACAAGTAAACTATCTAGACTTCTAGACATCTAGACTTATTGGCGTACTACAAAAAGAAAAATGCGATTAGCGTTGAATACAAGAATAAAGACCAACTAAGAAATGACAGAAGACTTAATAATTAACGAAGGAATAAGTCAAGAAGATTCCATAAATCCCCTGGTTTTCAAATTGATAATGAATCGACTTATAAATGATGTGATACCATTCATTAACTTTTGGTAGATGAGTCATCATATCAAAACTCGAGGTTCACAAAACAGGCGGGTTTTGGCCTGTTTTTGCGATCACGGTTTCTGCTTGAAGCTTTAAACTTCTTCTCATTTCAATTATATTTTTATTTATAAGTTTGACAATTCCTTCTTTAATAATTTTTCCTAGAATTTCAATATTATAATATAATTTTTTTATCATATCATAAACTAGAATCTTTAAGCTACAATTTAGCATATATATCACATATATATGCTAAATCACATATATATCATATCAAGATTCTTAAAAATATAGTCGAATTATTTTTTGAAAATTCGTATTATTTTTGATATATAAATTTGACAATTTCTTTAATAATTTTTTCTTGCAAACTTCAATAATATTATCTTATAGTTGTTATATCATATCATAAGCTACACTCTTTAAGCTAGACTAATAACTAATAACATATGGGCATTCTATTTAAACTTTCAATTCTTTGCAATTAAATAACGAAAATTGGTAATTCAATTTTTGACCATTCTGCATAAAATTGACCAATACAACTAATTGCGTTCCATTTGCAGCGTAATTTGACATACTTCAACTTAGTTGCTTGTATAGTGGCTAAGAAATACGGTTTAAATAAACTCATTGCAAAACTATTTTAGCATAAAGAATTTGAATATGAAATAAAAACCACAACATTGCATTTAAAATAACGATTTTGTGGTCTACTTCCGATAAACCGGAAGTGGCGACCATCTTGAAAATATTTCAGATCGAAAGACCGGGATGAACATCCCATAGAACCAAAATTTCAGAAGCGTAGGTGTAATAGACCAAAAAAAAACAGAGTGTTGCTGACTTTTTGGCGGACACTGTATAATATATGCATTGTAATTGCAGTTTCACGTAAAGTTACATCAAAATTAATGGTTTATTAAAAATTACAACGGTAGCTTCATAGAAAAGCGGGCAGTTACCATTGTGTTACATTTTTACCATTTTTTTAATTACAAACCCAAAAATACCGGAAACGTCAATTAATAATAAAAACAAATTTAAGTTAAAAAATAATTCTTACCTCATTAAAATCAACAACATAAGAATACCCAGGTCTGGTTAATAATCTAACCTCCCCTGGCCTCTTCAACGAAACAACATACAAATGTTTTTCCAACGGAGTTTCTCTTAATCCCATAAAATAAACCAACTGCCGTTTTTCATCAACCCAAATATCCCTGGATAAAACCTCCCAATTTCCTTGCGTTAACGCAATATTACTAATAATCCTGGGCTGCAAAAACAAACACTCCGACGTTTCCGGCGCTTCCATTAAAATCTGAGCAGTCACCAAATACAAGTGTCTAAATCCGGTATCTTGAGACGCCCAAATAAATTTGACTTCGTGCGGTTCCTGACTTGGTAAAAACCGTAATAAATCGTGAATATTCACCCAAACGTTCGATTCTTGACAATAAAGTACTTGAACCAAAGGACTTCCCGCTTCCGTACTACCGGATGAGTCATCGTACATTGGCAAAACTTCCGTGAAATTACTAAGTGATAAAAGAACAATTTCTAAACGTTGTTGACGTCGATCTAAAAGTTGAACCCAAATGTGATTGGCGTCGGGGGTCCATCCAGCTCTTACGACGTATTCCATCCATGGAAACAGTACGGATAAGGAGAATTGAAGTTCTAACATGCACACATCGTCGATTTGTTTCGTTTCGCTAACTTTGAATTCGATCATTTTTAAATACGATTTAGAATTGGCACATCCGGCTCGCGGGAAGCGAAATTCTTCGACGTCCGAAGCGTCTCCTTGCGAACTTGGGAAACAGAATAGTTTTACGTCGCCGTCGTCGACCTCTTCGTATAAAATTCGAAATATTCCATCTGTACTTTTTGGTTGCCACCAGTATCCTTGATATCTAAATTAATAATAAATCAAATTAATATTTGTATATAAATTAAATAGATGGAAGTAAATTTAAATTAATAAATAGGAGAAAATGAGTAACACAACTTCATTGATTAGTCATTTGTATTACTCGTTGTATGGACTATATATATCATTAATTTAATCTCTCCTTTTTGCATGGAAAAGGATTTTGACCTCAAAGTCCCATTTCGTTCTGGTCGTTCAATTGAGTTAAACAACAAGTGAATTGATAGAAAAAAGGGAGAAGCATCTTCACTCAATGGGAAAAGTTTAGAAGTGTGGAGCATAGGTTGCGCATACTTTAAGTGGCAACAATAAAAATCATCGAGCCATAAGCTCAATATATTTTGGAACAAAGCACATCGTGGCTTTGCCATGTAGTCGTAACACAGAAAACACTTTGGCGATACTTCAACATTCTGCCCAACAATGTTATACCTAATGGGAACACAAATCAGTCGTAGGTTAGACAGAAGATATCAGGTAGCACGCTAATATGCCAGAACGACGGGGATTTACGGTGTGGGCTGCCGTATCACAAAATGGCGCCATAGGCCCATACTTTTTGAGGAAGAATCTCACTGTGATCGTGAATTTGGCACGATATGTGGTAATGTTACGAAATTTCTTGCAGGCAAGAGTGAAAAAAAAGGAAGAACAAATATTGAGGATGTGTTTCCAGCAAGACGGAGCTACACCTTACACAGCTCTCTGAGGAGTGATGTAGGACCTCCAACAGTATGTTGCTGATAATGGCTGCCATATTGAAGACATTATTTTTAAAATAACATGATTCCTAAATGACACAATGCCCAAAACTGTTTAACCTGTTTTGCCGCATCTTGTACATATCTTTTTGAATAGCTTTTTATTGATATTTGGTACTAAAATGTGTCTTCCTCGTTGAGACTAAAAAGGATACAAAAAATGCGATTAGTATATTTATAAGACATTTTATTACAAAATAAATCACGATAACATTATAAACATATAAACAGTAAAGTTATGGCTTTGATAAAATAATTTGAACTTGCATTTGATACAGAAAACTGAATAACAACTCTAGCAAAGGCAAATGTATTTTCCTGGTATTGGCTGTATATTTATAAGACATTTTATTACAAAATAAATCACGATAACATTATAAACATATAAACAGTAAAATTATGGCTTTGATAAAATAATTTGAACTTGCATTTGATACAGAAAACTGAATAACAACTCTACCAAAGGCAAATGTATTTTCCTGGTATTGGCTGTAAGCAATTACAACACCTTTTTAGTTTCAAAAAGTTAACTTAGACGTCTAACTACACGATTTTCTTTTGTACGGACTTGGCATAAGCTGTCTGCTGCTTCAGCTTTAAAGTAAAGATAGTAGTTGCGTATTAACATAGAAAAGGTATTCATTTATCATTGTCAGAAGTTGTAATGTCGAGGCACAGTCAGAATTATCGCAGAATTGGATTAAATTACGACATCTATCGGCCTTGCACGGTACATAATCTGACCGGCAAAAAAAACCGGCCACTAAAATTTTGCCACAATTTCAAAGCTGGGTTTCTCGCGAACCACTCATTCGATTTTGATGATTCCTTTTTTGATCGAAAGGTTGATTCTTCTGTAATAATCCTGCGATAGAAATTTTTATTCGGATATTAATTTGAGCATATACGGGGTGCAAGAATGAGAAAAGCATTTTTTCTCGAAATTTGTAATACCCTGTGGGGTGCAGATGCTACAGCAGAGGGTGTTAACTGGAATCAAACGGTAACCCAATCTTTTCTGAACATTTTGTTTTTTTATTCACTCTATTATCTCTGTTACTAACGAAGATGCAGTGTTTTAAAGCGAACGCCTGTGAAAACAAGACAAACAAGCATACAAAATCTAAGGTGGCGCGCTAGGTAGCGTATGTCAGTTGTTTCGAATAGTAAATTGACAGTTGTCAAAGATGCCGTTGTCAATAACTGATGTTGCGCGTATTATTAGTTTAATTGAAGATGGCAAAAGTCAGCGGTACGTTGCCCATACGTTGGGTATACCCCGAACAACAGTTCAGGATGCCTGGAACCGATATGTGGAAACAGGAAATTTTACTAGGCGGCAAGGTTCCGGTAGAAGACGAGTGACAACAGCAGTTGATGATCGATTTATTGTGCTAAACACTCTGAGGAATCGTAGAACGACTGCTGTAGAAACTCGGCATCGTCTTCAAATGGTGCGTGGGGTTGACGTAAGTGAAAGAACCATTCGTCGAAGACTTGCTGAAAGTGATCTAACTGCAAGAAGACCTGCCAAAAGACAGCGGCTGCTCCAGAGACATCGGCGAGCACGTTTTCAATTTGGGCGCCTACATACGAATTGGAAAATGGAACAATGGGGTAAGGTGCTCTTCACTGACGAGTCCCGATTTTGTCTCCGGTCACCTGATGGTCGAGAACGAGTGTGGAGACGTCGTAATGAAAGGTTTGCGACCTGCACAATTTCGGAAAGAGTACCTTTCCATGGAGGTTCGGTCATGGTATGGGCGGGTATTTCGACGGAAGCGCATACAGCGGTCATCTTTGTTGAAAATGGCACGCTAAATGCCCACCGTTATATCCAAGATATTCTGCAAGAAGCTGTCGTGCCCTATTCCCATTTTATTGGTGACGGATTCATGCTAATGCATGACAATGCGCGACCGCACGTAGCACGTGTGGTTAGCGAATATCTTGATGAGGTGGGTATTGAACGGATGGAGTGGCCAGCGTGCAGCCCGGACCTTAACCCTATCGAACATCTTTGGGACCAACTTCAGAGACGCATTCGTCGTCGTCCTGTCCTACCGGACAACCTTCAGGAGTTACGAATTGCTCTTGAAGAAGAGTTTACCGCAATTCCTCAGGAATCAATTACGAACCTAATCAGTTCGATGCCGCGTCGACTACATGACGTTATTTTGGCTCGTGGGGGGCACACACGCTATTAATTTTCGTGTTATTATTAATTATTACATTAAATTAAATTTGTTTTCTTGTTTATTTGTCTTTGTTTTTACCGCATATTAGAACTGAGAACAGATGTTTACAATAATGAAGGACGTACGCAATTCTGTAATTCTAAGAAAATGTAAGTGCTTCTGCAAAACTGTTTCGGGTGCCCAGTTTTAGTTTTCAAGGTCAGTGATTTAAGGCGCCACTTTTAACAATGATTAAAATTCTGTATAGGCTTCTTTGGAAATTCCCGGCCACACCATCACAGAACCACCATCGAAACTTTCGCGTTTCATAATTGTATAGTCCACAAATCTTTCATTTCAACGTCTTCATATTCGCTCCTGACTATCGGGTGATAGTAGACAAAACCACTACTCATCCGTAAAAAGGACCTCCATTGCACTACTCATTCCTCTATTGCTCGATCTCCCAATTCATATGTAAGCGCGCAGATTGAAGACGCGCACGTCGATATCTAGGAAGCAGCCTCGGCCCTTTGGCAGCCTTCTTGCAGCCAGACCAGTTCTAGCAAGTTTTCAGCGAATGGTTCTCTCACTGACATCAACAACACGCACCATTTGAAGACGATGCTGAGCCTCTGCAGCTGTCGTTCTACGATTGCTTAGAACAATAAAACGGTCATCAGCTACTATTGTCACTCATCTTGTTTTCACAGGCGATCGCTTTAAAATGCTGCATCTTCGTTAGTAACTAAAAGTTTTTCTCATTTTTCTCACCCCGTATATGCTCAAATTAAAATCTGAACGAAAATTTCTATCGCAGGATTATTACAGAAGAATCCACCTTTCCATCAAAAAAGGAATCATCAAAATCGAATGCGCGGTTCGCGAGAAAGCCAGCTTTGAAGTTGTGGCAAATTTATAGTGGCCGGTTTTTTTTGCCGGTCAGTTTATATATTGTCGGTAATCAAGGATCGACAAGGATAGATACAAGTTCCGCTTTTCATCTGTGAAGGACTTACGACTTAGTCATAAAGTTTAGTTTTTGACTATACGTGTTTCATCGCTCGATTGGGTTTGATGTTGTTATGAAAAGTTGGTCTCAAAAATACCGAAGTATTTCTATCTTCATGCTAAACTTCTTAGGAATCGTACATGGTCTAGAGAGATTTGCAGAGGAAGGAAACACTGCTACAAGAAAGACAGCCTTTCAGCTGCATTGTGCCGCCACGAAACCTGTATTATTATCTCCGCCTGCATTATATCTAAGTACTCTGCTTTACTGGAACCTGTTGCAAATGTTTTGCAGTCAAAGTTTTTAGATCTCCTTCAATGTACGAACCACATTAAGAAAATTGTTGATGTAGTGAAAGTTCATCGCCAAACTACGGATGCCATTATGAAAGATCTCTTTGCTTCTACCAATAGGATTGCGGAGGAAATACAAATAGAAGTCTTCATCCATCCGGAATAGTAAAGCACCAATAGCATCGTTCAAACACTCCTGCAGATTCACCTGCTGAGTATTGGAAACGTACGATACTTATTCCGTACCTGGACTCTTTAACGTCAGCGTTGGAGAACAGATTTTCTGTAGAAAACGTACCGGCCTTTTCTATATTATCCCTACATCCTTATCTTATGCTAAATTTGAAGATTTTAAACAGAGCAAAATGTATTGCTGAATTGTACGACCTGAAAGAGCTTCAGTCTGAAACAGAATTGTGGTATCATGTGTGAGCTGGGAAAAACCTTGGTAGACAGATCTTAAAGATCTGGAAATAGTTGAAGTGATTAAAGAAGCTAATATATTCTTTCCCGGTATAAAAAATGCTTTAATGATCTCAATAACGCAGCGTTGTTCCACAAATACAATAAAAAAATCATTTAGCACATTAAGAAACATGGTTAAGATCTACAATGGGGGAAAACTGTTTAAATGGACTATGTTTTATGAGTGTGCATAAAAATCTTGTGTCAGGAAAAAAAGAATGAGATTGAGTTAGAAGTCATAGAAACATTTTCTGAAAATCCTAGGCGATTAATGTTATAAATAAAGTATGTGTTGTTTAAATTAACGAAATTAATTGTTGAAACCCCCCCACACCTCGCCCGGTCATGCAAGTCTCCAAGATGTCAAGTCTAATTCGCTCCCCCCTAGACCAAATTCTGACTACGCCCATGCTTGCATTCTTTTATTAGCATTCAAGCTTATAACAACTTCTTCTCCATTCTACTCTCCACTTGTTCCATTTTCTTATTTACCGCGTTTTTAGTTTCGTTTGTTATTCTTCTCTCATCCCTCTTACTTCTAGTTTCAATCATTAATCGCATAGTTTCATTTATGACCTTCATTTGATCAACCACCTCTTACCTCATTTGTTGCATAACCAATTTAATCCCCTCATTGCCTGCTTCCTTTCCCTTCATTTTACATATTTTGTATTACAATCTTGAGAAACGTAGAAATACTTATAAATCGTTATTGATGTTATTAAGAAGAATTTATTGTCAACAATAAAAATTTCAAAAAAGAAAAAATTCTTACCTGTAGGCAAAATTAAAACACAACACACAAAACTACAATTCATCACCTTCAAAAAAGATTTCTTCTTATATTAGCTGTTATTAGCCATCTATTGAAATCTATTAGAACTAAATTAGATCTTTTTTTAAATTCATTTTGTAATAATATGATACATTATGCTTAAAGCATGATTTAATCATAAAACTCAGAATATTAATATATTAATAAAGGTACAATTTAAAGCAACAATTACTAATTTACCTTGAAAACTCTTCTTGCATAACATAAGATGGAACACCAGCTGATAACGGATCATCTTCCAAAGATCTACTTCCCTTATGAGCATAAGTAAGCCGTACGGTACAACCAGAAACAGTATGAGATACCCAAATATCATGGTTACAAATGTACGCGACCACATCGGGATCCCAAGGGCATATTAATGGATTTAATTTGGCTCCGTGAGCGGTTATTCGAAGTTTAGTAGGAAACAATGGTCCTGATAAATATCCACTATCAATGCATTGAAATAAAGCTCCAGATGCGGGAAAAACGATTTTCCCAGATTTCTCATGAATTTCATACGAATTTATCCCCCACGTAGCTAACCTACGCCTTTCAAATTGTAATTGTTCCTCTCTACTACATTTATTAGCACTCGGAAAATTTGATTCCAACACAGAATGCCAAATTAATTTAGCTGGGGAGTTTTGACCAGGCGAAACATCGGCGTATAGTAATGTGGTTTCCCAACCGTTTTGGGGGGTACTCAGAAAATAGATTCTTGTTCGTCCGTCTGGTAATGGTCTGAACGATATGTAAGAAGGAATCATCGTGGATAAACCTGAAAGTTGTCTCCTTAGATCCCCTACGATTCCTTTCAGCTCCGACCAACTGAGTCTGGTCTCCAGATCTTCTTCCATATCGGTCAATCCAGAAATAGATACTTCATAAGCCCCACTTTCTGAATGAATACAAGTAACCGCACCGGAATGATGCGCTACGATGGTTTAGGGGACCGCGGCGGACGCATTTTAGCCACACGACGCGATTTTAATAGATCCACACCCGCGATTTTCGACGAGATGCGATGATTTTCGCCTTTTTTTGACCTAAATTTCTGAGATAACCTCAACTGTTAGACGGGCGAGTTGAATCTGGGGCGAAAAAGAAACTCACTAGGATGCTGTCACATGTCAACAAAAGAACGGATTCTATAGGGCACTAATTTTACGTTGATCGAAAATTAAAATTTCGAATAAAATTTCATTTTAAATTAACTATGAAAAATTGTTATTTTAAAAGATAAGTTCTCTTTAAGTGTATTAATAATAAAAAATTGTTATGTATTATTAAATTAATTTTAATTAAACATTTATAAATACATAAGTTTTTAAGTAAGTTCGCTAATTTTAGAGTACACTGTGTATAGTTTTCGATAATGTAAAAATACTTTATTTTAATTAATTAAAGAGTGAATTTAATGTATTTAATGTAAAAAAGTCATTATAAATGTAATAATAATTAATGATTGATTTTAAAAAATTAATTAAATGGAGTTGAACGTAAAATAAATAGTATTCTATTACATTAAAAGATGTCGCCACTATCGAATTAAATAAAATCAACAAATTAATGATTATTTATTTAAAAATTAACTTAGCGTTAATAAAAATTGGGTTTAATTAATTATTTATTTATACAATAAAAATGTTTATTAAATTAAATTTTAATTAAGCGTTAGGGTTTTAGAGTACACTGTATATTTTGGGATAATGTTTAAATACTTTTTTTAATTAATTAAAGAGGTGAATTTAATGTGAAAAATCATTATAAATATAACATTAATTAATTATTATGTTTGCAGTTAATATTTAATTAAAATAAGTTATTAAATTGAAATTTAATGTTAAATAAATAGTATTCTATTATATTAAAAGATGTCGCCACTATCGGATTAAATAAAATCATCAAATTAATGATTATTTATTTCAAAATTAATTGAGCGTTAATAAAAATTGGGTTCAATTAATTATTTATTTATACAATGAGAATATTTATTAAATTAAATTTTAGTTAAACGTTAGTGTTTTAGAGTACACTGTATAGTTTGGGATAATGTCAAAATACTTTTTTTAATTAATTAAAGAGGTTAATTTAATGTGTGAAAGTCATTTTAAATAACATTAATTAATTATTGATAATATTGCATTGATAATATTTAATAAAAATAAATTATTAAAATAAAAAATAAAATGTAGTATTTTATTATATTGAAAGATGTCGCCACTACAGCATTAAATAAATCAAATTAAATAATCAAATTCATCATTATTTTTTTTTAAATTAATTAACAGTTAATAAAAGTTGCTATAATAATTCATTTTAAGTAATTATTCCTTTAAGATTAATTAAATTTGTTAAATATTACAAAATTATAATTTCCACAACAAGAGATGTCGCCACTATCGGATAAAATATAATCAACAAATTCATGATTATTTATTTATAAATTAATTGAGCGTTAATAAAAATTGCTATAATAATTCGTATTAATTAAATATGTATTTATACAATAAGAACATGTATTAAATTAATTTTAATAAAAAGTATAGAAGTGTTTTAGAGTAGCCTGTATAAATTGAGATAATGTTTAAATATTTTTTGTAATTAATTAAACAGGTGAATTGAATGTGAAAAATCGTTATAAATATAACATTAATTAATTATTATACTCGCAGTTAATATTTAATTAAAATAAGTAATTAAATTGAAATTTAATGTTAAATAAATAGTAGTTCTATTACAATAAAAGATGTCGCCACTATCGGATTAAATTAAATCATCAAATTAATGATTATTTATTTAAAAATTAACTGAGTGTTAATAAAAATTGGGTTTAATTAATTATTTATTTATACAATGAGACTATTTATTGAATTAAATTTTAATTAAACATTAGTACACTGTATAGTTTGGGATAATGACAAAATACTTTTTTTAATTAAGTAAAGAGTTTAATTTAATGTGAGAAAGTCATTATAAATAACATTAATTGATTATTGATAATATTACATTGATAATATTTAATAAAAATAAATTATTAAAATAAAAAATAAAATATAGTATTTTATTATATTTAAAGATGTCGCCACTACCGGATTAAATAAATCAACTTAAATAATCAAATTCATTATTATTTTTTTTAAATTAATTAAAAGTTAATAAAAGTTGCTATAATAATTCATTTTAAGTAATTATTTATTTAAGATTAATTAAAATGTTATAAATATTATAAATTATTATTTTGACAACAAGAGATGTCACCACTTACGTTCAACCTAACCTAACATTTAGAACTTTATTTACAATTTTCTAAAACTTTAATTTGCTTTAAAGTGCTTAAAGCACGAAGAAATGAGGTCGAAATTTATTCTTCCAAGAAGAATGTAAGTATCCTTCAAAAATTATTATTTAAAGGAATTTTTTTAATTTTTTTAGTAAAATCAAAAACCCCTTTATTAATTAAATTGAGTAAGAAATTGGATGATTAAAAGATGCCAAATTGTCCTCAATGTAACAGTGAGATATCAGAACCAACCCAACGGTTAGTTCAAGATTCGTGTGGGCACCAAAAATGTAGAATTTGCCTTCTTGGAGATTCGGAAAAGTGTAAACAATGTTTTTCAAAACCACAAACTAATTTAAGTAATACAAATAGTAATAAAGGGGTTATAAAGTACGAAAGTAGTCAACCTAATGGGTCTAAAAGCAAACCCAACGATTTTGAAAAACGTAGTTACCAACCGATAATTGTACCAAATCATGTTAGTTTTAATAACGGTGTTTATTCTTGTAAAATATGTAAAAAGGAATTTAAAACGAAAGGGCACGTAAAGTTCCATCAATATTGCGTTGGTGGTAAAATGCCGTTAAAATGTAAAACTTGTTTAAAAGAATTCGTTTCAAAATCACATCTTCATGTTCACTTATTATCGCATGAAGAGAAAAAACCGCACGTTTGTGCGGAATGTAATAAAACCTTCGTTACTAAAAGCAAATTAAAACGACACTCATTAATGCATTCTGGCGATAAATCTTTCGTTTGTACAACGTGCGGAAAATCATTTTTCAGCAAAGATAAACTTAAAGTACATCATTTAACGCATAGCAAAGAAAAACCTTTTGGTTGTAAACAGTGTAAAGCAAGGTTTAATAACTCATCGAATTTAAAAAAACATCTTTCAGTACATTTAAGTAAGTTAGAGTTAAAAAGAACTTAATTAATTGGATTAATTTTGTTTTGGTTTAATTAATTGTAGAGGAGGGTGTTCATATGTGCGATCAATGCGGAAAACGCTTTAAATTAAAAGCAACTCTCATGATACATCGTAAAGTTCACTCAAATTATCGATCATATCAATGTGAGAGTTGTCCAAAAGCTTTTTTTAATCGCAAAGATTTACAAAGACACGCATTGGTGCATTCAGGTAAGTTAAATCTTTGGTATGACAATAAATTGTGTATAATTAAAGATAATTTTAGAAGAAAAATTATATAATTGCGAAGAATGCAAAATCCCATTCCGTAGAAAAGATAACTTACATAGACATATAAGAAATTCCCACCCAGGGAAGAAACTTCCTTCCGAAAAAACATCAATTAATAAATCCAAACCGCAATCGAAAATAATCGACACCCCAAACGCAATCAACGTGATAACATCATCAAAATCGACGTCATCATCGAAAGATTGCATAAAAACGCCACCTGTAATAAACGGCCCCTTTAAATTGGCGTTTAAAACATCCGCGTTTAAAAATACTTATAATATTCAAAGGAATATTGAGCCTGAAGATAATGTTAATATTTACGAAAAGATTTTGTTGCCGAATAATATTATTTCGAAAAGAAATGATGTTGAGGAGGAGATTGGGAAGAAATCGGTGGAAAGGGATGATCAAGAAGATGTTTATAAAGTTTTTAAATTTAAATTGATGATGAATAAAGAGAAATATTTGCATGAGAATCAATCGGATGAATTTAATTCGAATATCATTGAAAGTGCAGGGAAAACGTATACTGAGTTGAGGACTGTTAGTGAGAATTGTGCGAGTGTGATTGTTAGTGCTAATAATAAAAATGATGCGTTTAAAAATCATATTTTATAAAGTTTATGTATAGTATTTATAATGTATTTTATATAAACAAATAAATTTTAAGGATTTAAAAAATGTTGTTCGTTTGTTGATCGTTTTATAATAATAATATTTTTCTTTATTATCCAACAGGAAGACCGAATTACAGGAACTTACAACAAAGAAAAAAAAAGTAAAGTAAGATGTGAAGCGCACAAAACAAAAATTAATAACAATTCAGATAAATTCAGAACAAAAATAAGAGGAAAAAAAATAATAATATGTCACAATAGGGATATAATATATAATAGTTTAATGTGGCTGAAGTTAGATTCATATTCGAATCTGTCCCAGATTCAGATTCATAAAATTACAGTTGACCAGACAAGTATTGAACATATCAATTGAAAAATCGTTTTCTGAAACTACAGAAGTTGTGCGACTACCCTGGATAATTCGAATAGACCCTCTAGTATGTTCCCTGTCTATCCTTACCCTCAGATTTGCTGTAGGGGCCGAGCGGTTCCTCATTTTCAATAGCATACTTAGATATTATTTTCTCAATAACTAGAGACTGCAGCACCCTGGGACTAGTTTAGATTATTGCATTAGGTCCTCTGGTATCCTTCTAGCCCATCAGCACCCCCAGATTTGCCGTAGGAGCCGAAGGGTGAATTTTTCAATATTCCTCGTTTTCAATATCAAATGTAAACATTATTTTCTCAATAATTAGAGACTGCAGCACCCGGACACTAGTCTAAATTATTGCATTAGGTCCTCTGGTATCTTTCTAGCCCACCAGCAACCCCAGATTTGCCTGAGGGGCCGAGGGGTGAATTTTTTAATATTACTCGTTTTCAATATCAAATTTAAACTTTATTTTCTCAATAACTAGAGACTGCAGCACCCTGGGACTAGTTTAGATTATTGCATTAGGTCCTCTGGTATCCTTCTAGCCCACCAGCACCCCCAGATTTGCCGTAGGGACCGAGGGGTGAATTTTTTAATATTACTCGTTTTCAATATCAAATTTAAACTTTATTTTCTCAATAACTAGAGACTGCAGCACCCTAGAACTAGTCTAGATTATTATATTTAAAATTGATGTAATATTTAGTTTGATATTATAATTTCGTATTGCTTTTACTTCTATATAATAACATTGAAATAAAAGAAAGATCTACTAATGCAAATGAAACTATAATACTAAATAGTAACAGCCCCATTCTAAAACGTTCGTCGCCAACTATATCGCAGCTACTTGTTTCTAACGTTTCATTATTTAGTAATATTCATGATAGATTAGATGGAGAACATTTATCAGAACCCTCTACTGATAATGAAACCTTTATAAGTAAGGCGACGTTACAGGTGGAGCCGTGTCAATATAAAAAACATATAATATAAAAAACAAATACAAAAAACAATATAAAAAATTAATTTAAATGCTTTAATGTGTCTCAAAATTTTGAAAAGTGTCGTTCAAGTTTCATTAATAAAGAAGTAAAAGCCATATGAAAATTATACTTTCAAATCAAACTAAATATTGAATAAATTTTGAATATAATAATCTAGACCAGTCCCAGGGCGCTGTAGTCTTTAGTTCTTCTAGTCTAGTCTAGAAAATAATTTCTAATTTAGCAATTGAAAACGAGGAATTTTAAAAAATTCACCCTTCGGCTCCTACGGCAAATCTGGGGGTGCGAGTGGTCTAGAAGGATACCAGAGGACATAATGCAATAATCTAAACTAGTCCCAGGGTGTTGCAGTCTCTAGTTATTGAGAAAATAAAGTTTAAATTTGATATTGAAAACGAGTAATATTAAAAAATTCTCCCTTCGGCCCCTACGGCAAATCTGGGGGTGCTGATGGGCTAGAAGGATACCAGAGGACCTAATGCAATAATCTAGACTATTCCCAGGGTGCTGCAGTCTCTAGTTATTGAGAAAATAATGTTTACATTTGATATTGAAAACGAGGAATATTGAAAAATTCACCCTTCGGCTCCTACGGCAAATCTGGGGGTGCTGATGGGCTAAAAGGATACCAGAGGACCTAATGCAATAATCTAAACTAGTCCCAGGGTGCTGCAGTCTCTAGTTATTGAGAAAATAAAGTTTAAATTTGATATTGAAAACGAGTAATATTAAAAAATTCACCCCTCGGCCCCTACGGCAAATCTGGGGGTGCTGGTGGGCTAGAAAGATATCAGAGGACCTAATGCAATAATCTGAACTAGTCCCAGGGTGCTGCAGTCTCTAGTTATTGAGAAAATAATATCTAAGTATGCTATTGAAAACGAGGAACCACTCGGCCCCTACGGCAAATCTGAGGGTGAGGGTAGACAGGGAACATACTAGAGGGTCTATTCGAATTATCCAGGGTAGTCGCACAACTTCTGTAGTTTCAGAAAACGATTTTTCAATTGATATGTTCAATACTTGTCTGGTCAACTGTAATTTTATGAATCTGAATCTGGTACAGATTCGAATATGAATCTAACTTCAGCCACATANTTTAAAAAAATAGCGAAATTAGTACTCACATCCGGTGTAACCGGAAGTACAAAAAGAATGATTTCATGTCGTAATAATCCGTTTTAGCGACCTAACTATGCATTCCAAATGGTTTTCTTATATCACTAATAATAAAAAAAAATATGGGGGTGAGCCACTTTTAAGGGACACCCGGTATACCGTATTTTCTCGAATCTAATCCGCACCCCAATTTTAAAAATGCATAGTGGTAAAAAAAATTAGTTTGCGAATGTAATCCGCATCTTTCTCTGAGCAATTCGACAACACCAAAACGATGCGATGTTTGTTGTCAATCATAAATATACAGGGTGAGTCAGAAAGAATGGAAAATCCGAATACCGGAGATACTAGACACCAAAATATGATGATTTAACGTAACATCTCTAATACAAATGTCAGTGATTTTCGAGGCATAGGGTGTTGAAAGTTAAATTCTTGTTTCGAAATTTCTTGACAATTTTGAAGGTTTTTGTACTATTAACCCAGATATGCCTAAACACTTAATATTAAATATAATTTACTGTTGAAATGATATTTTATCTAAGAAAACAGTATTTAAACATGATCTCATAATCGATGTATTTTATCGTTTTTACCGATTTATAAACCCACGATGATCTCATACGACGGTGTAGTTGTTACTGAAGAAATTACTGAAAAATTACTAGTACCTAAATCGTGTTACAACTTGTTCCTGGTGTCCTACATGTAGGACGCAGGCATATCTGGGTTAACATTATATTTAGTAGTTTTAGGTTTTCGAGCATGAGAAATACGAATTTGAAATTTGTTTTGTTATTGCTCGTAGAGGGCGCTAGATACACGCTGCTTGTTTGATAAATCATATCATAAGTTTTTTGGCTCGTCAGCTATGACCAATAAGAGCTGCAAATCACAAAGAGCATTCAATTTTGCATAAAAAGGGTGCTCTTATTGAAATTGTCTAAGTCTATTGGTTTTCGAATTATTTACTTTTAAATGTTTAAATGTATTTTTTCTTCTAAAATATTTATTTTTTAACATAAACAAAGTTGGGTTATTTTTCCGCTTATGTTTCGACAATTGCCTGTTAATTGTCAACATTGATCTAATTTCCGTGTGCAATGATCATTTTTACCAAGAATAAAGTTATTACCAATTTGAAAATGTCACGACATAATGAGTTTTTTTTAATAGTGAGAAATACAGATTTAAGTCCACTGGATTTTTGAAAATGGTCACAATATTCTATTGTTATTAATTAATTGTTATTATTATCGATTATTATCGTTACTAATTACTATAGTTACTGTGTGTTATTGATTTTAAATGTTAACCTTAAAATTACTTTGAAACAATTAAAAGCAGATAACTTGGAAACCAGTAGACTTAGGCAATGTAAGCAAGAGTACCTTTTTTGTGCAGAATTGAAAACTCCTTCAGATTTCTGGTTCTAATTCACCATACCTCAACTGACAAAATAGTCTGAAATAGTCATGACTTGATATCTCAAACGTACAGTGTGTATCTAGCGCCCTCTACGAGTAATCACAAAACAAATATTAAATTCGTATTTCTCATGCTCGAAAACATCTAACTACCAAATTTTATGTTAATAGTACAAAAAGCTTCAAAATTATCAAGAAATTTCAAAATAAAAATTTAACTTTCAACACCCTGTGTATTAAAAACCACCGACATTTGTATAAGACATGTTAGGTTAAAATTAACTGATCACGGACGTTTTTTGTCGCCTGAAGTTGATTGAATGGAATCCATAGCCATTTTCTCTTAGTTTTCTAATCACGACAACTGCACAACGACAATCGCTAAGAAATGTCACTTGTCAAAGAGTTGTTTGCAAACATTTACAAATAATCCAATTTTAGATCATTTATACGTTCGGCCAACCGTCTTCATAAAATTCCCCTAGATATATCTCCTAACCTTGCAATAAACTTAACCTCCTCATAAGTCGGAGTGGTAAAAGCCGTTTTCGAGATAACCTAATGTTACGCGCTAACCTCCTGTAATGCTAACAGCTAGAATGACAGGAGGTGGTAAAAGTGGGCCTAAGTCGTCATATTTTGGTGTCTAGTATCTTCGGTATTCGGATTTCCCATTCTTTCTGACTCACCCTGTATATTTTTTCCGTTGATTGACGCTGATGCACCTAAAGAAACCTTGTTTACGATGAGTTTTTATTGGACTAAACTTTAAATTTACCAAGCCAGAAAAAATTGGAATATAAATATAATTTTAAAAATAAATAGTAATGCCTAGCACGAATTCAGTTCATATACCGCCCTCGTAGTAGCTCGAACGTGGTGTGTGTTTAATTATACATATAACAGCGTAATTATGGAAAAAAAGTAGCAAAAATCGAAGAGGTTCTTCTATACAGCGAAGTTTAAAGAGATGTTATTAAGTTAGCGTTAAAAGAAAGAAATCGAAAAGCTGGTACAATTTTTGCCCTTAATGAGAGTAACGTTGCGGCTGTTGCGGAAAGACAAGGCAGCTATTG